CACACACACACACACGCACACACACACACACACACACACACACACACACACACACACACACACACACACACACACACACACACACGCACACACACACACACACACACAGGAGCAAGTTAGGTGAGAAGGTGGTGGAGGCCAAGACCGTCAGTAGTTTCAAAGCGTTATATGACAAAGAGTGCTGGGAAGACGGGACACCACGAGCGTAGCTCCCATCCTGTAACTACACTTAGATAATTACACTTAGGTAATTACAGGCAAGGCGAGACGTTTGGGCAAGTCTCCTTACACCCAATGCCACTGTTCACCTACCAGTGATACAGAACCTGGGTGTTAGTCGACTGTTGTGGACAGCATCCTGAGGAATGGTTAAATGCCGCATATATCCGAGGTATACTCGAATTTAATTCCCTACAGTTAAGGATTTGCGCCCAGTAAATCCTCCCCGGCCAGGATACGAACCCATGACAAAGCGCTCGCGGAACGCCAGGCGAGTGTCTTACCACTGCACCACGAAGACTGGTCTAGCTAGCGCCGCAAGGGCCTCAAATGCAATGAGTGGGGACTCAAATTGCTTCTAGGTGAACAGATGCATTAAGTGAAAAGAAATGTGCCCCAACCATTTCTATCCCGCTCGGGAATCGAAACCGGGATCCCTGATTGGGAGTCGAGAACGAAGCCAAATGCACCCATCTTATGTGCCTTTTCATGTACACTACTTGATTTATTTAACCTTATATTGTAATATATATTCTTGTGAAGTATTTTCTTAATGTATTCACAGGCCTTTTAATGCACTCGTTCAATATGTACTAGCTCTATCTATAAGTTCATTAATATCTGTATCACCCTTTGTATGTATGTACTTTACCTAAATAAACATTTGAAGTTTTTTTGAATATTTAAATCAATTAGGTTACCCCTTTTTAAGGATCAAAATCTTTGGTTTACGTTTTCTCTGACTTATTTTAGTTTTAAAGAAAATGGATATATAAGGGTAACTTTAGTAATATACAATCAGTTAAAATGAGTTTAATAATAATAATACTAATTCATTGTGTCGGGGACAGGAAGCCAGGTTATATATACAATAAATGTTAGGCTTATACAGAGGTCCCCACCCCTAGGGTCGAATTACTGACCATCCCCAGGATGAAACCTTACACCAAGCTGACTATCTCTTGGGTTAGTCAGCTTGGTGTGGACCTATTTACTGCTGTTTACCAATACAGTCAATAGGTCCTAGCAGTAGCTAGGACCTATTTACTGTTAGGAGGACAGAGCATGAGGTGAAAGGAAACGCGCCCAACTATTTCTGAGCCGACCGGGATTCGAATCCAGAATTCTTGATCGTGAGTCGAGAAGGAACAAGACTCTACTACCAGGACTCTCTAAAGTTTATCCTAGAAACCTAGTCGTTTTCTTTACGTTTTCTGTTATAAGATAGAGGGATTTTGTGGAACTGGGAGAATTGGGGGAAGGGGGAACTAATTTGTATTTATTTTTATTTTTAGTTATTACATTCCTGTACAGCCACTAGCACACATAGCGTTTCGGGCACGTCCTTAATCCTAATATTCCACGGAATACGACCCGCCAAATCGTTTAACAACCAGGTACCCATTTTACTGTTGGGTAAACAGAGGCTACAGTTAAGGATTGACGCCCAGTAAATCCTTCTCGGCCAGAATACGAACCCATATCAATGTGCTTGCGGAACACCAGGCGAGTGTCTTACCACCTCACCATGAGGACTTTAACTATTGGGATAATTAGTGGGATAACTGAAGGACAACATATATCATTGTTATCTCTAACTTAGCCACTGCGTTGAAAGCCCTGAACATGTTCCCGTGCTATTTACACATGTAAAGACTTATTCCTCAATAATTTCTGAAATAAAAATCTTCCTAGATGGAAGCATTAAAACCTATAAACAACACCCAAGACACCACATTGCTACTCGACAGCACCGCTCCTGTGCCAGGTGAGTTACGGGCTCACCATAGCCCGTGCTACTTGGAACTTGTTCCGAGTAGCTGAATCTATAACAACAAAAAACCTCATTGCTTTCATATCGCTACTGCAACGTACCCCTAAGTCTAGACACTACAGTACTGTAGATCTATTGAGACCAGCGCGCCCACTACATCCACTCTCCGACGAGGAGTAATGATCCTGGCCTCTCTAAGGCTTGCTCACAGTTCAACAGTGGCCAGGATAACACAAGCTATGATCACTCTGCCTCTGACTATCATCAGAAGAATAATCTCTCCTCGCCTATCGCTTCACAACGATGGTCTCGCATCGCGAACCACATTTTGCCACATCATAGTGACTATTGTTGACTATTTCGGTGTCCTTTACTTTCCTATACATGTTTAGCAGAGCATGGCTAGACTTGTATAATAGTGGGTTACATTTAATATTTACTCCATTCCTAATTTTTTTCTAATTGAGCTATTTATCTGTCAGTTAGGTTGTTGAAGAGTGGGGAGAG